AGAATCCGCAGCAGGCTACGCTCTGTCAACACAGAGCCCCCCGCGGGGCCTGAACCCACAAAATGTGAGATCATGATCTGAGCTGAAATCAGGATCCTGCGTCCCTGACCTTTACCGTCTGGGCCACCTCTAGCCACGCGTAGGGTGCGTGGCCGTATCACCAGCACACCGGGCACAGCCCCTCTGCCTCCCCAGCTGAAGGTCTGCACACACAGCCCAAACCCGCTCCGCGCCCCCAGCCCCCCCCCAGCCCCCCCCCAGCCCCTGGTAGGAACCGTCCTACCTTCTGTCTTTATGTTCCCTCGGTGTTTATGCAGTGTTGTCACCTGTCTAATGAAATCACAGGGACCCTGGTGACTTAGCTGCAGCCCACACACGGCCCCCGTGTGCACCCCGTCCTGGCCCCGCAATCACCCATCCACTAGACTGCCGTGTCTTTAGGTCTCTGGCATTCCTATGGTCAAGTTTATACCTAACACACCGCCGACGCTTGTGTCCCTGTTCTGATTTTATTGAAGACCTGGAAGGAAGTTCTCAGGACCCGTTTCTCTCCCTCTGGCTCCCTTCAGGGCCACCTGGATTGTGGCTCGTGGGTCACTTCGTGGGGACCCCCCGGACCCTGTTTTTACTAGGTGCCTGCTTTGGTTACATGTCTGTGCCCTTCTGGACTCAGAGCTCTGGGGTCAGGACTGTGTCTGCCTGGGTCACCCCGTGTCCCAGGGCCCAGCCTCATCAGGAGAACGCACAGCAAAGCCACAGTGCGACCCTACTTCACACCCACTCTGATGGCTGGAACCGAAGGACAGACGGTGACTGTTGGCAAGGATGTGCTCTTACACGCTGCGGGTAGGATGTAGCACGGTGCAGCCAGTGTGGAGAACCTTCTGGCAGCTCCACGTAAAGCTAAAAATAAAGTTGCCATATAACCTTAGTTCTACTTCCAGACATAGACACAAGAGAAATGTCAGCATACGCGTGACACAGATGCTCACAGCAGCACCATTAGCAATAGCTAAGAGGCGGCAGCAGCCCAGCAGCCACCAGTAGACGAACGCACCAACAGCATGTGGTCCCTCCATTCGGTGGACTGATTTCAGCCGTAAGGGAGGAGGCACTGAGAGGCACTGGAACGTGGGTGAACCTTGGGAACTTCATAGTAAGCGGTGGAAGCCAGTCGCAAACACGCCACATCTTGTGACTGGTTTCCAATCATATGAAATGTCCAGAACTGCTGAATCCATAGAGGGGGAAAGCAGATTGGTGGTTGGTGGGTGTTGTGGGGAGGAGGGGTGTAGGGAGAGACTGCTCAATAGTTAAGGGGCTTCTTTTTGGGGGGGGTAAAATAGTCTAAAATTAGATTATTGTGATGGGTACACAACCCTGTGAATAAACTAAAAATCATTGAATTGTATACTTTAAACGGGCGGATTTTATGGCATGTGAATTATATCTCAATAAAGCTGTTAAAATAGCTTTTTAGGGGCGCCTGGTGGCTCAGCCTGTTAAGCCGCCGACTTTGGCTCAGGTCATGATGTCTTGGTTTGTGAGTCCCAGCCCCTGGCTGGGCTCTGTGCTGACTTCTCTCTCTGCCCCTCCCCCAACTCAAAAGCAGGCATGCTCCGTCTCTTTCTCTCTCTCAAAATAAATAAGCTTAAAACAAATAGCTTTGCAAAACCATGGCCATTTTGCCACTTTTCATGTCTTTTTTAGGATCTTTCCTCTGCGAGGGGCTGAGAGGCGGCCTTGCGGCATGGACACTGGCACAGGGGAGAGGCGGGCGGGCGGGAGGTGCACTGGCCAAGCACTGAGGTTCTGGCCTCCTCCCCACGGATGGTTCCCAGGTGAGGAATCCAGTCGGACAGCTTCTGGTTGCTCTTTGAAGGAGGCCTCGTGCAGGGTGACCTCGGGGTTCTACGGACTCAGCAAAAACCTGCTTGGCAAGAGGGGCCAGCGCGGCAGGCATTCTCTCGAGACAGGACCCTCGCCTGCAAGGGCCGGAGACACTCCTCCCCGCAGGGCGGGCTGGCGGTGCTGGACGCTGCTGAGTCCCGTGCAGGCAGTTAGGCCGGGCCGGACCCTGGGGGCAGCCCGGGAAGCGCGGATCCCTGAGGAGGGCTCCGGAAGAGAGGACGGTGTTAATGTCGCGCTCATACCCCGCGTGGGCTGCGCCTTCCCTGTCACAGACAGTGGGCAGCAGGCAGGGAGCTTGGCCTGAAACTAGACACACCGAAGAGCAGGCGCTGTTGTCTCTGTGGCCACTGACCTGTCTCTCCCCTGCCTGTGCTTCTCTTCTCCAAGGAGGCCCTGGGAGGCCACCTCGCCTGGCCTTGGGTGGTCTTTCAACCCAAGCTTTCAGAACAGCTTGACCAAGGCAATTGGAATCTGCTGAGCCCAGCAGGCCCCTGGGGAAATAAGAGTCCTCTGTGCAGACGACGACAGGGGCCCAGCTCAGGGTGGCGGGAGATCTGGGTGGGTGACGGGCTCTCTCCAGGTAGATCTGATAGAGGTGGCCCAGCACTACCCCTCAGGGGCGGAGCCTCTGAAATGACCACCAGAATCCGAGGCCCGGGGATTCCCCAAGAAGGGAGGGCGCTCAGACCCAGTCTCCACACGAGTTGGGAATAAGAAAGCAGAGGCAGTGTGATGTGAGGGCTCATTCCATCACCAAGAAAGGGAACCAGTAAAGTAAGTAGGAAGATTCTAGAAGTCCAGTTGTTAGCTGAGCAGGTGGCAACGACCTTGGTATGGTCATGGAGTAGGTGGATGGCCAGGAAAAGAGGCAGAAGTCACTGGAGGTGGGTGTTCTGGGTCTGGGTGGGTAAAACAGCACATCCGAGTGTGGTTCTCAAGCCACAACATCCACATCACTCGGTGCCCTTCCGGAGCTCTAGAATCTGCATTTTTTTTCACTTTGAGAGAGAGAGAGAGAGAGAGAGAGAGAGAACCCATGATCAGGGGAGAGGGGCAGAGGGAGAGAGAATCTTAAGCAGCCTGATGCAGCAGCCTGATCCTATGACCCTGGGATCATCACCTGAGCCAAAATCAAGAGTCGGACGCTCAACTGAGCCATGCAGCCACCCAAGAATCTGCATTTGGACAAGCACATCATGTAACACCCCGCACACCCGTGAGGCTCGGTAGTGTTGGGCCCAGGTGGAAGTGAGCTCGATGACTTTGGGGGGAGGAAAAGAAAGGCTTAGCCCTGTGTGTGGTTGTGAGCATTGCAGTCTGGCCAAATGTGAGAGGCGGTTCTGTCCCCGCGGCGTCAGGGCCAGGGCAGGGCCCCCGGCTCCGTGTGAAGGCCCTCATCGCAGGGCCTCACGTGTGCCAGGCTACGGACCCCAGGCGCAGTGCAGCTGCCGAGACGGGGCACACACAGCAAGCTAGACTCTTGCCTTCAGTCTTTATCTTATGTTCACTAAAAGAGCTCTTTTACAGGTGCTGATGCTCGATGCGGATACGGGGCTCCCTTCTCCAGTCTCTCCATTTGTTTGTTTGCAGATTCTCATTTATAAAATCTGTTAAAAAGGGGTTCTTTCCGGGTACAGATTTGGGTACACAGATTTGAATAGAAGGTTTCTTGCTTTTTATTCTAAAATAGTTGCAACATTTTCATAATTTTATAATTATTTTAGTTTTCATAATTTTTTCATGTTTTAATACGTTAGCCACTATTTTGTAATCCACTACTTATTTGCTGTGCCGTCTGGACCCCTTTATACGTGTCCTCTCCAGGAAGCAATTCTCCTGAGCCATGAGGACTTCCTGCCCTGGTGTGAATTTTAAAGCAGTGGCTCCCAAACCTGGCTGCACGGTGCCCAGACTCAGCACTGTCCATTTGCCAGGGCTCTGGGGTGGCTTTAAATGTTGTTGTTTGTTTTGTTTTGTTTTGTTGTTTTTTGAGAGAGAGATCGAGCAGGCGTGAGCAGAGGAGGGGCAGAGAGAGAGAGAGAGAGAGATTGAGAATCCCAAGCAGGCTCCACACTGTCAGCCCACAGCCGGACACGGGGCTAAATCCCACAACCTTGAGATCATGACCTGACCCGAAATCAAGAGTTGGATGCTTAACTCGCTGAGCCACCCAGCTGCCGCTGGGGTGGCTTTAAAGCCTCCAGGTGTTTCAGTGTGTGACCAAGTGGGCAAAAGCTGTGAACGAGCAGAGACTTAGAGAAATAGGAGAGAAGGAATTGAGTTTAAGCCCCCCAGCCCACCCCCTGTGACAAACAGGAAGACCTTCATTGCCTTTTGATTTGGATACAGACTAATGAGCCCACACGAGTTGTCTACAATTTGAAACAAGACAGATTTTTTGAAATATTCTCTCCTTTGTCTGCTCAAATCTGCCTTTGATTTATCTGGTGAATTTTTTATTTCAGTTACTGTAATTTCAGCTCCAGAATTTCCTTTTGGTTATTTGTTGGCTTTTCTTTCTCATTATCGGTAGTTCACACGTTGTCTTCTTTGTCCCTCTCCAGGTCCTTGATATCTCAAAACAGTGGCTTTAAAGTCTGTCTAGTAGATCTGACATTGGACGGACTCTGTTGAATTATCTTTTTCCTTTCAATGGGCCAAAGTCTCCTGTTTCTTCATGTGCCCTGTGATTTGCTGAGCGCTGGGCATTACTCACGATGCGCTTCCTCTGGAAATCACACCCTCCCCTTCCCCAGGGGCTGCTGTTTTGTCGTTGTTCTTTCCCTTGTTGCGGGCTCTGTGCCGGCTGTCAGCCTCAGGTGTGGACGTAGTGTCTTCTCTGAGCCTTCCCTTGAGCGCGCCCGGTCACTTCCCGATTTCCCCGTGTAGGCAGCCGTTTTTCTGTCCTGGTCTTTAATGTGTGGCTCCCAAAAGGGGGAAAGTGAAAAACAGAAGGGGGATGAGAGGCACTGGCCCGTCCCTCCCTCCAAGTCGCTGGAGCTGGAGCTGGAGGGGCGACGGCAGCGGCCGCCAGCTCTGTGTCTGCACCTGTGTGCTCAGAGCACCGCGTCCTGCCGTCTGGAGGGACAGGGTCCTTTGCGTCCCCCCGGCTTCTGCAGGCTGCCTGCCACGTGGCTGGGGTGCGGGACGGGTAGGTGCCTCCGTGCTGAGAGCTGGAATCGACCAAAACTGGCTCCTTCCCCCGGACCCGCTGCAGGCCTTCGGCCTGGCCCACGGCTCCGAGGCAGCTCCGTCACACGGGTTCTGCCCCCGCTGTGTCGTCTGGGGGGGGGAGGTTCCCGGGGCCCCTGCTTAGCTGTCTTCCCAGAATCCTCTCCAGGGTTATAAGCACCTTTAAAAGCTTGTGATACATAGTTCCAAACGGCCCCGACAAGGGCCGCCCATCTGGCACCTTGACCAGCCTCGCGTCTGCTTTCTCTTCTGCACCGGCCACTGCCAGGTGGGGCTTCAGTCTCTTCCCAAAAGCCACCCCGGGAGAATACAGCAGAAAAGTGGCATTCTGTGTAGAGCACAGATAAAATTGGCTCTGCTCTTTCTGCTGATCTCAAACACGGCGCTCAAGGAAACTCAGCGTCTCGGGGCGCCTGGGGGCTCAGGAGGTTGGCGTCTGACTTCAGCTCGGTTCCTGATCTCACAGTTCGTGAGTTTGAGCCCCGTGTCGGGCTTCCTGCTGTCACTTTGGAGCCTGCGTGGGACCCTCTGTCCCTCTCTCTGCCCCTTCCCTCCTGCTGGTCCTCTCTCTCTCTCAAAAAATAAAAAATAAACTTAAAAAAAGAAAGATAAAGAAAGATAGGGGCACCTGGGTGGCTCAGTCAGTTAAGCGTCTGACTCTTGGTTTCAGTTCTGGTCATGATTTCGTGGTTTTGTGGGTTCAAGCCCCGCGTTGGGCTCTGCTCTGACAGCACGGAGCCTGCTTGGGATTCTCTGTCTCTGCCCCCCACCCCCCACCCCCCGGTACTTACACTCTCTCTAGATCTCTCAAAATAAATAAATAAACTTAAAAAAGAAAACTCAGTGTCTCCAGTCAGTCTTGTAGGTAGAAGCTCTGGAGCGTCGGCTCTGGGCCATCGGTCCCCCTCCGTCAGGAGCCTCCGCGCGGTCTGTGTCGCACTATTGTCTCGGGAAAAAACCCCCCCAAAAAGTTTTTTTCAGGTGAACAATTGAAGTCACAGTCTTAGTGAGGAGAGCCAAGGAAGGAATCGTACAGGCTGGGGGGCCAAGGGCGAGTGCTCATCTCCCTGGGACGCTGGGTGCCTGCTCTAGCCAGAGCACGGGGACCCCGCGGGCCCCAGCACGGAGAGTGGGGGGGGGGGAAACCTGTGAGAATGAAGAGTCTTGGGGACTTGGTTAGTGTACGTTTGTATTTAAAAGATTGTCTTTAGTACAATTTATTTTCCTTCTACTGTGTGGTTTTGCAAATGGAAGAGTTGTGGTACTTTGTGTCCCTGCTCAGGCCAAGATCATAGGATTTAAAATATTTTATGGAGTGTAAAAACTAAAGTTGCCTGAGGCTTTCCTGGAGTCCAGACAGGAAGGCAAGTGGGAAGGCTCAGGGGGCCTGGAGCTGGGCCCCGGGCGGCAGCGGATGGACCTACGGGCGGAAGGCCTTCCCCAGGCTTCAGCTGTAACATGATGCCGATGCAAGAAGCCAGATTCCCAAGGTCACACGTATGATTCCATTCATATGAAGCAGCCAGAAAAGGTAAATCCCTAGAAACAGAGAGCAGATTGGTGGTTTCCAGGGGCTGGAGGGAGGGGCCTGGGGAGCAGTGGGGTTTGACGTTGTGGTGGTGAAACGTGTGGGGCTGGACACAGCTGAGTGACTGTACAGAATGCCATCAGGTCGTCTGCTGACCGTGCTGATTCTGTTGTACGAATTTTGCCTCAATTCAAAAATATAAGGAAAGGGGAAGGTTCATAAGCAAAACTGTGTGTTTCTGGAGCTGGAAAGCCCTGTGTGTGCATGTGTGTGCATATGTGTGAGTGCACTGGCTCACTCTGGGTCACTCGTGTTCCTTTATGCCCAAGCGGGCAGCCTGCTGCTTCCCCCCAGCAGGGGCTCTTCGGGCCCAATGAGCCAGCAGAGACGCGAGCTGTCTGTTGTGAGCGCTCTCATGGCGACACGGCACCTACACCGGCCGGTTGCTTCGCACGCTTTCCTCCGTTTTGCAAGCTCCCTGTCACTTCTCATTTCCTTCCTGCTAATGCCCTCAGCACGTTCTGCTACCACTCCTACTCTTCCCGAAGCAGCGCCTTTTGCGGAGTCATATATTTCTGCTAAATAGAGCTCATTACAATTCTCTATACTTTTTTCCCTTTGCTGCAAGATCGCACATTCCTTTTCCAGTGCATTTTTAGCCAAATACCATAAATGAGAGTCATGTTCCAATTTCTTTATTTTTTTAAATCTCGTGTGTGGCTGGCATCTTATTACCCAGTTTCCATTTGAAATGGTCTCTATTCCAATTATTAACGAAGAGTTTTGAGCACGAGCCTCGGCTGTCTTCTACCCCTTATCTTTCCTGCTGACGGACCGCCAGCCACGCGGCTGGACAGATCCATGGCGCAGAACTTCCGTTTCGCTCTTTGAAAAGTAAGTAAAACCCTTCCTAGGCCTTTGAGACTTTTTAAAAAACCAATTTCTACACCCCCCGTGGAGCCCAAACTCACAGCCCCGGGATCCAGCGCCGCCCGGCCTGTGACTTCCGAGTTCTTCGGCCCTCTGAGTTCCGCAATTCCTGGGTCCCGACTCTGCTTCTGCGAGAAACTGAACGTGCTCACTCTGCTCTTTTAGAGCTGGTCAAATTCTGACTGTCTTCTTGCAGCTTAGTTTCATTATGAGTTATTTTTCTCTCTGAAGGTTTTATAAACTAATTTCTTGAGACGTTTTGTAACCACCCCGCAGACCTCTCTCGGGCTCTTCTCCAGCGGTGCCCCAGCTGCCTTGGTTTCATGGCTTCTTCAAGCTGTTACTACATCCTTAAGCCCAGCGTCCCCTGAAAACGTCGCCCACAACCACAGGGCGCCGCCTCCAGCGGGGACCCAGGGCGCGGTGCTGTCAGCCACTCCGTGGGCTTCGTGTGCACTGTGCCAGCTTCCCCCCCCGCCCCTCTTTCCTTCCTTCCTTCCTTCCCCCACCCCGCCTTCCTTCCACTTAATACTATCATCATCTGACAGATTTAAGAATTGCATGTATTTCTCTGAAATATTTTATCTGTTTATTTATCTTAATGTTTATTTTTCAGAGACACAGAGGGCGAGTGGGGGAGGGGCAGAGAGAGAGGGAGACACAGAATCCGAAGCAGCTCCGGGCTCCGAGCTGTCTGACCTAGAGATCATGACCTGAGCTGAAGTTGGACGCTAAACTGACTGAGCCAGCCAGGCATCCATTTCTGAAGATATTTTTTAAAGTCTACTTATTTATTTTGAGAGAGCGAGAGAACACGGGCAGAGAGAGAGAACCCCAAGCCGGCTCCACACCGTCAGCACAGAGCCCGATGTGGGGCTTGAACCCACAAACTGTGAGGTCATGACCTGAGCTGAAATCAAGAGTCAGGTGCTTGGCTGACTGATCCACCCAGGCGCCCCTGAAGATATTTTAAAACAACACACACTCTGCTGCTCGGTGACACTTCAGGGATAGTTACGTTTCCATAAGAAAGGTGGCCAGGTGGTTGGCTCCGGCTGCGGCCTGAGGCCCCCCTGCAGGTCAGTGCGGCTCCCAGACGCTTCCCAAGCAGGACTCACGAGTGTCTCCTACACTGTTTGGGCTGTCCTTTTCCATTTTCTCTTTGTTGACAGATGGAGCTTCAGCTACTTCTGGAATGTTCCTAGCACCAGCCTGTCAGCCTTGTTCCCCTGCTTGTTTCACTTCTGCAGCTCTGGTGCCCGGAGCAGGCGCACCCCCCGCGCTCTGGCCCCGGCCTCACACCCGCTCTGTCCCAGCTCCACACTCCTCCGGTCCGTTACTTGGTAGCGCGAAGTTCCCGCTTTCTCCTGGCTTCACTGCGGGGGACTTTCTGCTTACTGTTCTCCTCATGGATTTGGGGAGAGGGGAGATACTTGCCGTGGGCTGGTTCAGGGCCCTGGCAGCGCCTTCTCACCGGGAAACGCCATGCAGCTTCATGGGCAGGAGCCGGACGGGGAGACTCTTAGCGCCCCCCTTCTTTCCTGTTTTTCTGAATATTTCCTCTATTTTGTTGTCCTTTTACCTATTTTCATGATTTTGCCATTCAAAATCTAAAGTGGTAACAATGTTCCCGTGTGGGGAGTCGGCAGTCTGTCAGCCACGTGGACTTTCCTGCCCCACAGGATGAGCAAGTCCTTGCAAACTCAAGGCTCTCAAAGGCAGAAGTAGGGCTGAGAAGGGTGGTAATACCCTTGACCTTTGGATACCACGGCCTTTACTGAGCCCAGAGGAGGCCAGAGAAGGCCTGGAAGGGCGGGCCACCTTTTCTGCGGCCCCAGCGAAACAGGAAGTGCAGTTGGTCCGTGGTGCTGGAGCCGGCTTCTGTTGCCCTGTAGGCCATCTGCATTTGATTTTTTTTTATGTCTTATTTATTTCTGAGAGAGCGAGCATGAACAGGGGAGGGTCAGAGAGAGAGGGAGATACAGAATCTGAAACAGGCTCCAGGCTCTGAGCTGTCTGTCAGCACAGAGCCCGACGCGGGGCTCGAACCCATGAACCGTGAGATCATGACCTAAGCGAAAGTCGGACGCTTAACTCAGGTGCCCCGAGGCTATCTGCATTTGAAGAGACACCATTTAGGGGCGCATGGGGGACTCATTCCATTAAGCTTCTGACTCTGGGTTTGGGCTCAGGTCATGATCTCACAGTTTCATGGGTTTGAGCCCCACATTGGGTTCTGCACTGAGCCTGCTTGGGATTCTCTCTCTCTCTCTCTCTCTCTCTGCCCTTCTCCCACTCGTGCTGTCTCTCTTTCTCAAAAAAAAATAAATAAAGTTAAAAAAAAAGAGCCATTGTTTATGAAACTTAAAATAACTGCGGGGCTGCCACGGCATGTGTGGGGCGGTGCCGTCCGGGCCAGTACTGCGTTTGGTCCACGTTGGGCGGGGCTCATGGTGGCTTCTTTACGTAACAACACGGTTGTTGGTTTGAAAGATTTGAAATGGGCTGAGCTGGGTCCTCAGTCTGGGGCTTCGTGCAGTGTGTTTGAGTGTGGTTAGGTGCCATTCAGGAAGGGTGCGGGGCATTTCAGGATCTGACTGTGTGTTACAGGTGAAGGCCAGCAAGGAGGGTGCGGTGTGGGGCCAGGCCTGCATGTCAGTCCTGCCTACCTTCATTGGCTAGAGCTCGGCCGCCAGGCACCAGTGCAGGGTGAGGCCACAGAGGCCACAGGTGCTGAGCTGTGACATTCTTTACCCTCACTTCACCGGGGCGATGCTGGGTCTCGGTGGATGAAGAAAGCCCCTGGGCCGGGGCGGGGGTGAGAGTTGTCGGGGACCATCACCACGTGCTCTGTGGCTGGCGCTGGAAGGCTGTGTTCAGGGACCTGACACCCAAGTTCCTCAAGTGAAGCCTGGGTCTGTCTCCTCGCAGGTCCCTGATGACAGGGGCAGGCATGGCAGGGGGCAGTGGAGGGGGTGGCTGTGCCTCTTCTCGGCCCACCAGTCACTCGCTCGCTCACTGGGAGCTTCCGGATTCCCTGTGGTGGCTGTTACCACACCCCGGCTGGCTGAAAAAGCCCAAGTGTGTTCTCTCACAGTTTTGAAGGCCAGAAGTCCAAAATGAGGCCCGGGTCAGGGTCCCGGCGGGGCGGTGCTCCTTCCAGAGGCTCCGGGGAGCAGCCTGTGCTCCTTGGCCTGTGGCCGCCCGGGTCCCGTCTTCAAGGCCCCTTCCCCGCCTGCTCCGCCTGCACACGGCCTCCTCCTTGGGTCTCGTCTCCTCTGCCCTCCTTCTCACAGGCACAGGAGACGGCACTGAGGACCCGCTGGGTAGTCTAGGGCGGTCTCCCTCTCTCAAGATCCTTTTTTCAAAAAAATTTTTTATTTATTTTGAGAGGGAGAGAGAGCGTGCATGGGGGGAGGGCAGAGAGAGAATCCCAGGCAGGCAGGCTCCATGCTGTCAGCACAGAGCCCAAACCAGGGCTCCATGTCACAAACCGTGAGACCATGACCTGAGCTGAAATCAAGAGTCGGACACTAACCAACTGAGCCACCCAGGTGCCCAGCTCTCTCAAGATCCTTAACTTAATCACATCTGTATTTTAAAAAATATTCCATTTTGGGACGCCTGGGTGGCTCAGTCGGTTAAGCATCTGACTTTGGCTTAGGTTATGATCTCATGATTCGTGAGCTTGAGGCTCGCGTCGGGCTCTGTGCTGACACCTGGGAGCCTGGAGCTGTTTCAGATTCTGTGTCTCCCTCTCTTAGACCCCTCCCCTGCTCGTGCTCTGTGTGTCTCTCTCTCAAAAATGAATAAATGTTAAAAATTTTTAAAAAATATTTTATTTTAACTTTTTAAAAGGTTTCATTTTTAAGTAATCTCTATACCCAACTTGGGGCTCAAACTCCTCAACTCTGAGATCAAGAGTCACACGCTCCACCAACTGAGCCAGCCACGCGCCCCCTATATTTTTCTTTCTTTCTTTTTTTTTATAAGGTAACATTCACAGGTTCTGGGGACCAGGATGATATTTTTGGGGGGCTTTTTCTGGCCAGCACACTGTGATTGGCTTCTTTTGTTTACAGGAAGCCCCGTGACACACACAGCCTCTGAGAAGGTTGGTCTCCCTTCTGCTTGACTGCTGTGGTTCTGGACCAGGCGTGCCGCTCGGGTTCCAGAAAGGGTTACGAGCCAGCTCTCCAGTCATCATCAGCTCACTTCACTGGAGGCCTTTGTGGGGTGGAGTCCTGGACCAAGAAGGCAGGATTGAATCCACTTCCAGGCTCTGAGACGCTGTGTAGGCCCTGCACCGGACGCGCCTGACGGATCCAGAAGAGTAGGCGGCCGTGGGCCAGTGACCAATTCGCCCGATTTGCCAGGGTGAACAGGATCGGCAGCCATGACCCCACGTGATCTGTGAGAGCAGGGGGAGCCCGTTGCCCTCCTCCAACCTCCAGGGCAGGGTGACCCCGTCTGGGCTCTTCAGAGCTCAGGGGAGGAGGTTAAGTAGGAACACCCACTTCCTTCTTTGAGCCTGGCCACCACTTCTCCTGTGTGTGTATTTACTTCCCTGCACCTCCCGATGCTGTGTTCTCACTGGTTTCCTGTGGATACTCTGAGTGACCATGACTCAGAAATAGCGACATCAGCCTGAGAGATGGGGGAACTGAGCATGACCCTATGTTTCGTGGAGGCCCTCCTCATCCCAGGCTTGTCTGGGAGCTAGTCTCAGTGAGGTCGGTGCCATTCCCACGATTTTTCACAGAATCTTCCAGGTAGGAAGCAGGTCAGATCTGGGGTGGGGAAGCTGGCCGGCCACGTGTGTGCCCAGGGCCACCTGCTCTCATCCACCAGGCCTTCCCCTTTGGGGTGTTTCAGGTCCCACTGGGCTGACACGGGAGTCCTGAGGGGAGCTCTGCAGACAGAGGCCTGGGGCCCTGCCTGGTTTTCTCCGCCAGAAGCCCACCTGCAAGGGGTCTGGGCACACAGGGCTGGCTGGCTTCTCACAAAGGTGCTCACGGCTGGGGCCCAGGGCTCCATGCACACTCACACCACCAGCACCCACATGCCCCAGCACCTGCGCTAGGGCCCCTGGGGGCTCACCTAGGTCGGGGAAGAGCTCTGTGCATGGGCATCCTGAGGTTACGGGCTCCCAGGACTGCGTGGAACGAGGTGTCCGATAGACCCGCAGTCCTGGCCGCCGTCCTGGGCCCGGGCGCCTGCGGCGGGAGCGGAAGGCGGGCCTGCAGAGGCTTCGGGCGCACGGTGCGCCTGTCTCCCCAGAAGAGACCAGGTTAGGCTCGGGACACCGCTCCTTCTGCATCCTGCACCTCGGGGCTCCGCCCGCACCGGGACGGGGGGCCCCCCTCTGTCCTCACCCCCCCCGCCCCGAGTCGTCAGAAAACGACGGCGCGGAGGGACCGCCGGCCTCACCGGGGGTGGGGGAGGGGCGCCAGCCCTGCCCGGGTCCCCACGACGGGGTCTCCAGGCCTCGCGCAGGCCTCGGCCGGAGACGGCCCCGGTCCTCGGCTCTCGGTGGCCGCGCACCGCGTCCACACGGCCCCTCGCCCAGGCCCCGGTGGGGACGCGTCCGCGTGGGGTCCCGGCTCTGGAGCAGCGGTCTCGCCCGGCAGGTGTTCCCTAACGGGGGGAGGGGGGGCGGGCCGAGCAGGCGGAGCTGCGTCGCCGCGGCGACCTCCGACCCCCGACCTCGTTCTGCGTCCAGCCGCGACCCTTCCCTGCGCGGCGGGTGCGCTCTAGGACCCAGTGCCGCTCGGCCCGCCGGCTGGGTGGGCGGGGCCCCTGCATTGTGACGTCGCGCGGAGGGGGGGCTGCGGCGCAGGGAAGGACAGACGGACGGAGCTCGCCGGACAGACCGGGCGGGGCCGGCGCGGGCGCGGGCGCGGGCGCGGAGGGTAAGGGCCGGGCCCCGGGACCTCAGGCCGCGTGGGGACGCGGGCGCGGCGCGGAGACCGCCCTCCCTGGCTCTGGGCGCGGGGCGCGGGGCGGGCGGCGGGTCCCGGGACCGAGTGCGCCCCACCCCGGGCCGTGCGTCCCACCCCAGGACCGAGCCAGCCCACTCCTGCTCAGCGCGCCCGCAGGGCTGAGCGCGCCCCCAGAACGGAGCGCGTCCCCTACGACTGAGCGCGTCCCCAGGACTGAGCGCGTCCCCAGGACTGAGCGCGCCCCCAGGGCTGAGCGCGCCCCCAGGACGGAGCGCGTCCCCTACGACTGAGCGCGTCCCCAGGGCTGAGCGCGCCCCCAGGACGGAGCGCGTCCCCAGGACTGAGCGCGCCCCCAGGACGGAGCGCGCCCCCAGGACGGAGCGCGTCCCCCACGACTGAGCGTGTCCCCAGGACAGAGCGCGCCCCCAGGACGGAGCGCGTCCCCCACGACTGAGCGACTGAGCGTGTCCCCACGACTGAGCGCGCCCCCAGGGCTGAGCTGCGTTCCGCCCCGGCCGCGTGTTCCCGCAGGGACGCAGCCACCACGCGCCCCCGGACTGAGGGTGCTCCCCAAGGCCCTCGTCCACCGCCGTGCGCCCCTCACCTCTGTTCCCCCAGCGGGTGCCGGTTCCCGTGTGGAGGGCTCCCTGAGGCGCCGGTGTCTGAGGAGGGGGTCGTGCCCCAGCCGTGAGCCTCCGCAGGGCCCTGGGAACGCGACCCTCACTTTGCCTCCAGGGCCCTGCGCCGGAGCCCCTCACCCCCTTCCCTCTCTTGCCAGGCTCCGATGGCGGAGGGCTGCCCCAGGTAGCAGCGGCCATGTGGGGGTGACAGTCACCGCGCGATCCCGGAGTCCGTCCCGGGCCCGGCGGACGTCAGTCGGGATGGAAGCAGAAGGCTTGGATTGGCTCTTGGTCCCCTTGCACCAGCTGGTGTCCTGGGGGGCCGCCGGGGCCATGGTGTTCGGGGGGATCGTGCCGTATATCCCGCAGTACAGGGACATCCGGAGGACTCAGAATGCCGAGGGCTTCTCTACCTACGTGTGTCTGGTGCTCCTGGTGGCGAATATCTTACGGATCCTCTTCTGGTAAGTTGGGAGCTTTCTACGGGTACTTCCAGAGGGATGGCTTTCTCTTTTTGGGGGTGCGGAGCGGGGTGCTGGTGCAAGTATCTGCACTTCCTGAGACGGAGCTCGTGAAATGGAGGAGATTGTTTCCCAGGGAAAATGGTGGGATTGGAGTGGAGAAACTTACTCTAGTCTTCATATCTGCATTTTCAGGTATTTTCGCGCGGACTTCTGGGTGCTGGGTAAGGTCCTAGAAGGGGTCCCGGTCCTTGGGGTTTGCATGGGAGTGGCAGCGAGAGAAAACAGGGGACGAGTACGTGATTAAGACCAAGAGTGACGAGCCGTAGGAAGGGCCGACCAGGGGCTCTCGGGGCCACGGACTGGGAAGGCGGTTCCCTCCACCTTCTGGTTGTGTGTACAGTTTTGTTTTGTTTTGTTTTAATAGGAAACTCAACTTCCTGGATAAGACCTGAGAGGTTATTTTTTCTTGCCACTCCCAGGCCAGCTTCCTCTTATTATCATTTGCATTCTGGCAAGGAACTGGAAATTAATTTTAACAGTTACTAAAGTGAGACATATTTGGGAGGGGGAGTTTTTAGAGGAAGTGAAATGAAGTCTTATAGCCTCATTCTAAGACTGAAACGGTCTGGAACATTCCTTTCTTCTTGATGGTCCCCAGACCCTCTGTCAGCACAGATAGTGAGGACCGTTGCTCAGGAGGATGTGTGGGTGTGGAGGCCGGATGAAGGCACTAGGCCGTGTCCAGAGGGCTGCTTCTGGCTTCTTCCGACTAGTTGGTTACTGAGTAATCATGTCTTTTGCTAATTCTTTTTTTTTTTTTAAGTTTATTTATTTTGAGAGAGAGAGCGAGCGAGCGAGCATGAGCAGCGGAGGAGCAGAGAGAGAGGGAGACAGAATCCTAAGCAGACTCCACACTGTCAGTGCAGAGCCTGATGTGGGGCTTGAGCTCATGAACCATGAGGTCATGACCTGAGCTGAAATCAAAGTCAGACTCTTAACCGACTGAGCTACCCTGGCTCTCCTGCTAATTCGTTTTTTGAGTCAGCCTATTGAGGGTATGATTGACGTGAAATAAAGCTCCCACTGTAAGTGCACAGTTTGATGAGTTTTGACAATGCCCCCTTCCATCACCATCACAACCGAGAGACAACTTTTCTGAGCCCTGAAGTTCTCTCCTCTGTGTTCTATCCCTTTGATTCATGTTTACTGGGTGTTCGTTTTGCCCCTGTCTGGGGGCTTTTAAAAGGTGACTGGTAAGTCAGCTCCTCCCCGGGGAATTTCTCACATCGCCAGGTTTGTCTCTGGGCCAGGCTACTTTGGAAGGAGGCGGGAGTGGGTGCTTGTTTTTTTCTTTGGCACAAGTTGAAAAACCCCATTTTGAAGATTCCTCTTTTTCCTCTGGCTGGGGACAGAGATCACTCACTCTAGGGTGACACATGGCTTCCCTTTTCTAAAATGGCCTCAATCCAGCCTAAGGTTGAATGGAAGCAGGTCCCAAAACATAGTTGCCTCTGACACAGTCGTTGACCCTGAGCGCGCTGGAGGTGCTCAGGGGGCCCTGGCCGCCGCCTGCCCGGTGTCACAGGGTTAGGCTGGGAAGGCCACTTCACGAGGTGCTGGAATAAGTTTTCTGTAGCAGTGGAGAGGAAGTGCCTGAGGTTGGCTTCCCTCACGGGAAAAAGGAGCAGTTGAGAGGTCTTTTCCTTAAGTGTGCTTATCCTTCACACTTGCAAAAAAAGAGGATAGAGTATCTAATCTACATCCTAACATCTGGTTTGGAGAAGTCAGAAATTAATTTCTTGAAAGCCAAGTCACCAGGGCCTCTGGTCTTAACTGGCATTTAATGCACTTGGACTAGGAGTTCTCTCTTCGCTGCAGGGCTCGAGACTTTGAGAAGGGGTTTTGCACTCTCTCCTAATGCAGCACAGGGTGGCCTTTTGTGATTCTAAGTGTTGTCCACTGGCCAGTGTGTTTCTGTGTGTCTGATCGGTCCTTTCCCAGAGTCAGCACCCTGACTGTTCTGGGTCACTTCAGGGGTTCTGTGGCCACCGTGAGAAGACCCAGGGCTGCCTTTGGGCAGCATTCTGGAAGACTGGTGGTGTGGGGGTGAAGGGGGGCTGGTGGCGGGGGCTGGTGGCGGGCGCTGGTCTCTGGCCTGGGCATGTGCCTTCCCTGCATTTCCCATAGGGCGGTGCTTGGGTTTCACGTGGTGACCCCCGGCAGGCAGGCTGGGCTCCATCTATGACCTGTGACTGATGGGAGCCTCTCTGCCCACCTAGTCCCGAGACCCCTCCTGGGTCCTCCAGCCTTCACGGGTTAGCAGCCCATGTGATTTAATAGGTTTTAGAGGGTTTCCCACATTCCAGACAGCGGTGCAGATGCCGCAGGGTCTCCGCCGTAGCAGCAGCATCGCATGGCATGCACCATGTTCACGTAATGGGCCACGGCAGGCTCCAGGTGAGACGGAAGCAGGGTCTACACTAGACCAGTGTGAAGGTGGCCCAGAAGAGTGTGTTTCTTAAAGCTGGCTGCGAGCACGGCCCTCAGAGCTCCAGCCCGGGAAGCCCCTTGCAGACTTGTGGGGTGAGCTTGTGGGTGGGGGGCCAGCAGAGGCCGTGAGCCCCAGGTTCCGGAAACTTGTGGGACTACAGGGCTTTATTTCTTACAATTCTTTTTTTTAAATGTTTATTTATTTTCGAGAAGAGAGAGAGATAGAGCAGGGGAGGGGCAAAGAGAGAGAGGTATAGAGTTTCTGAAGCCAGCTCTGTGCTGACAGTAGAGAGCCCAGTGAGGGGCTTGAACTCGTGAACTGTGAGATCATGACCTGAGCTGAAGTCGGACGCTCAGCTGGCTGAACCACTCAGGCGCCCCAATTTCTTGCAATTCTTAATCATCCTTTTGCAAATCTAACATTCAGCAGATTATATTCCATAAAGTGCTGATGTGTAGTGTTTAGCCTCTGTGGTGTCAGGAGAAGCCAAGAGAAAGGCTAGATGATGCCTCGTAGCTAATACTTGCAGGCTTGTGATTTTGTAGAGGGGAAGGGGAGGGAGGGCCCGGGGGGTATGGATGATATTGCAAGGCCTGCCCAGAACTGTGCGTTCGCAGAGGTAGTTCTCGAGCTCCATTTGTATTGGATGAACGCACTGTATCAGAGAGATGGTCCTATTACAGCAGATGTATAATAACATTGTACTGGCTGTAGTGACAGTGTATCAGAAGTATGGGAACCCTTTCAGAGATGTAACACCATATCAGATGTGGTAACATTGTACCAGAAACGTAGTAGCATCATGTCAGATGTGTTAACACTGTATCAGATGCACAGGAAACAGTGTAACTGAGCTGTGGTAACGTTGTATCCGAGACGGACGGGCCTAGCCCTGTGCTGGCTACAGTAACATTGTATCAGGGATGCGTGGTGCTGTATCTGAGGGATAGAAACCTGTTACTGGACTCACAGTATGAAGCTGCATTGGAGCCTCCTAGCCCTGTGCCAGAGATGTAACACTGTTGAGTACGTAGTAACATTTTGCTGAGGGTGTAGCAGTTGGTGTGACAGGGGGAAGTAGATACACAACTTATTTCCACTTGAGCTTTTCTCTTATTTTGAAGACACGGAGAAGGTGTTCTCTGGAGAAGTTTTCGCTCAGACTTGGTGAAATGTTGCCTATCCCCTTCGGTGTGTGTCTTCCTGGGGGTGAGATGTAGATATGTATCCTGCGGTTAAGGGAGAACCCTTTTATTTATTTTACTTTATTATTATTTTTTTGTTAACATTTTTTGATGTTTTTATTTAATTTAGAGACAGAGAAAGCATGAGCTGGGGAGGGGTAGAGACAGAGGGAGACAAACTGAAGTGGGCTCCGCGCTGACAGCAGAGAGCCTGAAGCCAGGCCCCAACTCGAGCCGGGAGATCATGACCTGAGCCGAAGTCGGACTTAGCCGACTGAGCCCCCCAGGCGCCCCGGTGCCCTGGGAGACTGGCTGGTGTGAGCGGCAGGCGCTTCACGTGTCTGGTAGGCTGTCCCGTCATTTGCCCCAAGAAGAAGTTGTGTCCCCCACATTGTCAGGGACAGGAGAGGTGCCCATCTGTCCTTGTCAGTACAGATTATTAGCATCAAGGATAGAAAAGCTTAACCAATGTGGTAAATAAAAATTGGTGTCTTTGTATTTTAATTAGCATATAAAATTACTAATGATATTGAACCTCCTTTCACATTTATTTTGTCTCTTGTATATCTTTTGTGGAAAGTTGTGCTTTTTGAAATTTTGTGTCTCAGTCTGTCTTTATCCTAAGTTCAGCTAAGTACTCACCTCTCCTCCCTCTCACTTCACTTTAAATGGTCTTTTTTTTAAATTGTAAATGTTGAGTTCATCTGGATTCGATTTTTGGTGTATTTTTTTAATGTTTATTTACTTTTTAGAGAGAGAGGGAACACGTGTGCGACGGGGGAGGGGCAGGGGTGAGGGGGCCAGGGGATCCCAAGCGGAATCTGTGCTGACAGCAGCGAGCCCAATGTGGGACTTGAACTCACAGACCATGAGATCATGACCTGAGTCCAAGTTGGGTGCTTAGCCAACTGAACCACCCAGGCGCCTCTTTTGAGGAAGCACAAACCTTGATTTCTTCACCCAGTTTTTCTAGTCATTGTTTCTGTTGAGTATTTGAAACATAAAAGTGGCCTTTTTCACGTGATGGCCAGAATTGCACATCATTGGCCTTATAACTAGAAATGAGCTTGGTACGCAAGGCCCCAGAGTAACACGTATTATTGTGGTTCTTCCCAGCCTGCTTGGGAAGGAAGCATCTCCAGTCTTTCTAGGCCGACATCGAACTTCTGTCCCCTTGTCAGACCTTCAGCTATAGGTGAGTTGACCCCTGGGGCCAGCTGGATCCAGTGCCTAGAAATGGCTAGAAATGTCCTTACGTAGCCCCAGGGGTGAGAGCCGCACTTTACAGCAGGGATGGGGCTCAGAGGCAGTGGCTCACAGGCCCCAGGGCCCTGTCCCCTCTCTCCTCCTGCACCTTCTCTTCACGCAGGCCTGACTCATCAACCCTCTCTTGCTCCAGTCACTTCGCATTTCCGCTCCTCCTCTTTGCATTCCAGGATCCCAGGTGAGCCCAGGTGACATTTCCTGGGGAGGCAGGAAGAAGCTGGTGGTCACAGGGCCGTCTGCTGTCTGTCCTGACCCCCTCTGCCCTTCCCAGACCCAAGTGGCATGGGCCTGAGCCTCTGTGACCTCAGGCCTGCTCTGTCCTTGCTCAGAGGACGTGGGCCGGGCGCTGGCATCGCGAACCGGTGCGAAATGCTGGTCCTGGCACCCGTGTCTCGATCCCCAACTCTGCGGGGAGCATCTGTGTTTTCCTGGTTGCTTGACCTCCTGTGGGCACCTCAGCTGATGGCTCCCCTCCGGGTGGCACATTCTCGCCTGCTGGGCCGGCCCCTGGTGGCCGTGGCCGTGGCCGTGGCCAGTCCTCACCAGACGTGCTGTCTGCTCTCTCCCAGGAGGCGCCCGTTGATCAGAGCGCAGGTGGCAGTGCGCTCACAGACGTGGGCTTGAAGGTGCAGCCTGGGCACTGGAGTCCCTCAGGGAACGTCACTGTGTCTTTATCTTGTACGTGAGATTTCCTTACTTCCAGGCCACACCTTTCAAAGACAGGCTCCCTGCCAGGAGGGAGGGGCGGCCTCTGATCTCACCCTTTACCACAAGCCCGGCTGCTGAGTTTTGTCCCAGTTTCTCATAGATTTGGCTCCGTCCCTTCGTGCAGCCGCCAGTGGGCAGGCGCCGGGCTGGTGTCTCCGGGGCCCCTCAGAGAGCTCTGCCCCAGCTCTGTGTTGTGGGCGTGCTCAGCACCCGGTGAACCCCCCCTCTGCAGGGGGAGCAGGGTGTAGGCTCACTCCCCCTGAGGGAGGGTAGGGAGGAGGGAGGTGGTCCCTGTGCTTTCTTGTTTCCGGGAGCAGCCGGGAGATCCCACTGCAGGGTGTCCTGACTTAGGTGTGCCGACCCGACCGCCAGCCCCGGGCTTGGAAATACCCTTCAGGCCACGTGGTGGGCCGACCTGGGGGATTCCTGCTCCAGGGTAGCTGGGCGGGGTCTGGGGTTGGGACTCTAAAGAGTGCCGTGCCCTGGCCTTGGAGATGGTGGTCCCTCAGGCCTGCGTGGGCCTGGGCCAACGTGTCGCGGCTCTGGTGGCTCTGGTGGCCGTGGCGGGGACCCCGAGCTGTTCTCAGCCCCTGGAGTTCGGGTTCTGCCGATGGACCCATCCTGCGCTGGTCGCTAGATCGTGGTCTCGCCTCTGCCAGCTTGTGGCCCAGTTGGTGAGAGGCTCTGCCACGGAACAGAAAATCAACAGGGAGGCTGGGAGAGCCGGGCTTGTGCCTGGGAGAGCCGGGCGGGTCCGGGGGCTCAGAGCACTGAGGCCTCCGCTGGGCGTCAGCCGGGCCTGAGTGGGGAGGGAGATTGACTGGGCAGAGAGGCCTGGGTGGGGGTCAGGGCCTCAGGTTGGGAGGTAGGGTGTGCCCAGCCTTCTCTCCTCTGGGGAGGAGGGGTGTCCCCCCCCACCCCCCCGCTGGTCTCTCCTCACACCGTGGGCTGCTCCCGCCTGCTGACCCCATCATCTTCGTCAGGGCTTCCTGTCCTTCCTGGATTCTGGAATGAGTCTTCCCAGGGAATCAGGTGGTCTAGAAACCGGGCTTCTTACCGGTGGTGGCTGGGGCCTCTTCAGGGAGGGTGCTGGGCACCTGGCTGTGAGGTGAGGGGGCTGGGAGCCCCATTCACACCCTCATCAGCGGCTCCTGGGGAGGTGAATGTGGCTTTGGAGAAGCCGTGCACGTGATTCTGAGAGGTGTCCCCGCGTCCAGCTGTCCAGGGGTGTCCCCGGCTCCTGCCCACCCAGCTCTGTGCACCATGGAGCGCAGAGGCCGAGGCAGGCAGTGCCAGAGGCTGTGGCGGGTGTGAGACACCCTCTGGGGTGCCCAGGATGTGGCCGTGGGGGCCTTGGTCGGGACCTGGGCAGGGAGAGGCGGGGAGGCCTGGTGTCCGGGCCCCCCTGATGCCGTGGTCTCTTTACCTCCCCAGGTTTGGAAGGCATTTTGAGTCACCGCTCCTCTGGCAGAGCATAGTCATGATCTTGACCATGTTACTGATGTTGAAGCTCTGCACCGAAGTCCGCGTGACAAATGAGCTGAACGTAAAACGCCGTTTCTTTGCAGGTTGGTGATCTGCACCTTTGGGAATAAAGCACTAAATCAATAAGCAAAACTCGCCTCATGTCCGTGGGTGAAGTCAGAGCCGCATTAGTGTTACCTGAGCAGCTCTGGTTTCCCCAAACGCACGGTTATGTGTGGCTGATGTCAGTATTTTCCGTGTGTTAAATGTTTAAGCAGTTTATAATGTGAAACAGTTCAAGGTAATAGTTTCTTCCCTGGAATCTGGGCAAGTTATTAACTAATCTTAATGTGTCACCATCCACTGTGACTATTATGAGGGGATTCTGAATTGGGACAGGATTAGGTCAGAGTAAGACGCCTCCTGAGAAGGCGGTTTTATCTCTGTGTTGTGTGTGGCTTGTCCACGAGCCACACCCTTCAGTTTCCCGTTTGCCCGAGTTAGCAGGGACCTTCCTCACGACCTTGCCGCGGGGCCAGGTGCGTTGTCCCCTGGAACTTGGGCAGGACGAGCTGCCCGCTCGGCCCACACTGCTCGGTGACTTTTTGCGGCTCAGGGAATAGAAAATACTTCTCGTTTTTACCTTTTCCTTCGAAAAAGTTCTTTCTGAGCTGATGTTCTGTGTTTGAACGTGCAGGAGAATTAATGCCTTACCTCTGGTTTTCTTCTTGTTACTAAATTGAAGACAGCTCTCACTTTGATTTTGTCTGAAATAGTGTGTGTTTAATCTCAGCTGTTGCTCAGAGAAGCGTTTTTGCTAGAGTTTGTTTACTTTCGGGACTCGTGTGGACCTGAGGCCTTGCCCTTGTATTTTTATTCCTGATGTTTATTTTCTTTCCATTTGAGCAGACCCTTTCCCCACATGTAGCTTCTGTTTTTAGAGATGAAGGCATGTTAATTTCAGTCTTTTAGAAAGTGGGTCAGCCGCCAGCTCTGATGGGTGCCCTGGCCCGGCCGGCGTCACGTACGCTATAAAGACCACCACCTGCTTCTGTTGGTTGTGTCTTTGTTCTTTCTCCTCCGTGGACCTGTTCTCATCTCCCCTCCTGCGACCTGGGAAGTCACACCGGAGGCGGGGCTGACCGCGGGCACCCGGCCAGGTCCCTCGTGAGGTGAGGGGCTGGGCCCTTTAGCTGCTCCCACGCTGCGCGCTCTCTGCCGGCACCTCCCCCGCCGCCTCCTCTCTGTGATCTGTGGACCTCACCCTCCGTGGGCACAGGCCCTCAAGGCCGCCTGCAGGTGCCCGCGTGGGGGGCGTCGGTGGCGCCTCCGGACCCGGGGACGGAGGAGAGCCGGGAGCGGACACGTGAGCGTGGTGCTCCTGAGCCTCGGGCTTTGCAACAGGAGCCTGGGTTTTGTGATCTTGTGTGAAATGGTGCGGAGGCTCTGGTCATGGAGGGTGCCGGATGCAGCAGGTGCGTGTCCAGGCCCTGTCAGCAGGAGGCTGGGCCTCTTCTGGTGGCCTCCTGTCCCGGGGGCTTATTCTGCCCTGACTTCTGGTGCTCCACACAGAGTCTTCCAAAAGGGGTAGTTCTCTTCCGGTGACTAGAATGGGTTGGGTTAAGACCGTGAATCCTGGTTTGCGGAGATAGGGCTGCAACCTGAAACTAACAAGAGCCCTTTCTGTGATGAGCAGATTAACGGGCCCGTCCACACCGGGACCTGGGACGTGCCGCCTCGGGGCTCACGGGGCTGCAGGCGAGATGAATGCCGGGGCCTTACGCGGGGGGCTTGTCTGGGTGTGCCCGGTCTCCACCCGGCCCGTAGGGTGGAAGAGGGGAGTTGGTCAGGCGCGGACGTGAGGAGGGTGTGGTTCTGGCTTTGGACGTGGGCGAAGGGCTAGGAGCCAAAGCAGAGCAGGCTCTCGAGGCTGGAACGGCCCCCCTCTCCTCGCCAGCAAGAGCATGGGCACCTCGGCCTCCAGGAACCAAATTCTGCCAGCAGGTTGAATGAACAGGATCTGGGTTCTTGCCTAGAAACTTCAGAAGGAATATGCCCTGATTTTAGCCCAGTGAGACCCATGTCAGCCTTCTGGTCTCCCACATAGCGAGGTAATAAATCTGTGGTAGGCCACCGAGCTCGGGGTGACTTGCTGCGGCAGCTGTAAGGTCTGCAGCGTCTGGGAACACAGGCAGGTCCAGGTGTCTGCCTGCCGGCGGGTGTTGGCACTTGACCAAAGGGCTGGCTCGAAACCTGCGACATGCAGGTGGGTGGGGCCGCAGTGGGCTTTGGCCTTGCGGCGGAGCTGCCGTCCACTGGTGACGGCTGGGCGCTAGGTCTGCCCGGCCGGCCTGTGCTTTGCCTGGGCTCTGCTGGGGCCTGGAGGGCCGGGGCTCCTGACCCCTGGGCTCCCAGCTGGGCCCCAGACGGTTCCAGGGGGAGAATCCACCCTAAATTCTGCATACTGAGATCTGGGATACAGCGTTTGAGAATTCTTGAGATTCATATTAATTCTTGAATGTAATTAGGCTTACATGTATCTGTGTCTACCACGTATGGACACACAGCACACTCATCGGGAAAGCCTTTAATGAAACCTGTGGGTGTGTTGCCTCTCCTCTGCCAGAAGTGGTTAGGTGGGGTATGAAAACACCAACCAGTTCAGGCTGGAAAGCTCTGGGACCCTATGAGCCGCTGCGCCCGGGCCTCGCTGGGGAAGGTGGGCGGTCCCCACTTCCTGGAGGCGCTCAGCAGGGGCGTTGGTGAGGGTGCCCCGGGCGGACTGACCGGGCACATTCAAGTAAGTTACGGAGAAGCGTTTTAACAGCCATATTTCAGTGTTTTCATAGGGTGGCCAGTCTAGAAAAAAACTTTGATGTTTTACAGCTGTCTTTTATAGAGGTTTCTAATTTCAAAGGTCACAAATTGAGCTTGGAGGTTAAGATTAAAGAAATAAATGGAATTAAAGGAGAAAAAGCAGGTCACTCACCAAATGAACATGTGATGTGTTATCTGATTATAAAGAGCAGTATGTGCTCATCTCGACATTTTGGGGACTAGAGAGGAACGTAAAGTAAAAGCAAAGAGCTTTCCACTCAGCCATCCAGAGGTGACATTGGGGTTCGTCCTGTGGCCTTGCTCATACCTAGGGGAGGTCAGGCTGGGGGTGGGCCTGAGGGGGCGGGGCCCGCGGGTTGCGGGGAGAGGTCTTCCGCAGAAGCCGCTGTGGACTCACCGTGTGGCTACACCAAGGGCGTGAGGTCCGATGTGGCTTGCGTGTGCTGCGTGTTTCCTCTTCATCTCTCACGTTTTATGGTGGAGAACTTCAAACACACGTGGAGTCAGGGAGAGTGTGTCCGAGCTCCCCGCGTAATCGCGCCCGCCTCCAGCCATCCCCAGGCCCTGTTCGCGTCCCCGCCTACGGTTTTTGAAGCAAATTCCAGACTTAAGTAGTTCATAATGTGTGTCTAATAGATAAGGACTTACAAAAACAGCCAAAATACCATCATTAGCCATAAGGAAGTACTTAATTATCAAATACCCAGTGTTATGTGTAGGTTTTCAGCGCCCCATCACCTCCTGATTGGGGGCTGGGTTCTGTCCTCCAGCCGGGGCCAGGCTGCGGACTGGTCACTGCAGGTTCTCCCTAACTTCCCTTGGTCCTCGAAATGTGTCTCTTCACCCTGCACGTGGTGTGTGCCGTGCAGCCAGCGCTCCATCCTTGGGCTGACCAGTACGCCCAGGGGTGTGTGGGGGTGTGGAATTGAGACCCCGGCCACCCCGCTTTCGGACAAGACTCCTGGCGCTGCAGGTGACATCTGAGAAGCCGGCCAGAGGCGGCCCCGCCTGGCTGCTGCGGGCCACACCCCGTGGGGTCCATCGGGTCTTCCTGTCTCCGGGATGCCCTGTGAAAAACATTTTAAAAAGATAAGTGGATCCAGAGGTCTGATCAAGTCTAGGTTTGGCTCTTATGTTTTGCCAGACTTGTTTCTTCTGCAAGGAGGCACATCCTGTCACCTTGTCTGTTTTTGGATGTTAGTGGTGGGTGCCCCGCGCCTAAGCCGCTAACTGTGAGGCTGCAGGGCTCCGGCGCGGTCAGTCTTCATCACGAATTAGCTGCGGGCCTTCTCTGACGTGAAGCTTCCCAGGAAATGCTGCTGTGCCCAGTGGTGTCATTTACGAGTGAAAGGCAGGTAATTGCTTCTTTCTCTTTATCTGCCAGTTTTCGAAACTGGTTCCCTAGCATCTTGCAACAGTGTTCGTGTTTGTTTTCCATTATTCGGATTGTGTGGATTTAAACCTACTTGATGGGTTTGCCTGATTGCCATTATTCTGTTGACCCGCTCGTCCGCTGGCGGGAGCCTCTTCAGTTGGCTCTTCACGTTTTGGCAGAGACGGGGGGGGGGGGGGGGTCCCTGGGAGCCGTGCTCTTGGTGCGACAAGTTGCTCGGTGCCTCATCTTACCTGGTTCCTGCCCCAGACCTGGAGTGAGCTGTTTCTCCAAGGATCCCTTGTGGCCCTGGACTGCGGCATGTGGAGACCACGGTCCGGCCACTGGGACAGCTGAAGGGTTGGGGTGGCTTTTGGCTTTTTCGGTGGACGGAGCCGGGAGATTCTGTGGCAGATGAAATAGGCCAGGTGTGCGTGCTGACACTTCCTTTGACTCCTCGTCGAGCTCCTTGGTCATCGCTCTGACACTCACGGGCTTCGCAAGGACCCAGGGATGGAAGAGCGACCTGCATCCCTCTCTGCCCGAGGGGGTCTCAGTGAGGGGGCTCCTGGAACGTTGTTTTATGGGGGTCCCAGGATGACACGTTCTTACCTGGTTTACTGGCACAGAGAACGGTGCCACCAGCGGTGCGCGCGGGGAGAGAAGATGGTCTGTGACTCCGAGTCAGGTGGTTGCATTCACTTGACATTCACTCCGGTTCCAGAATGGAGGTGGCTGGGGAGTGGGGAGGGGGTGGCTGCTCCGGGGGACGGGTGTCCCTTGTGGGGGACGAAAGTGTTCTAAGACTGTGGTGGTGGTTGCGCAGCTCTGAATATGCCAAAACCACTGAATTGTACACTTTCAGCGAGTGAATCCTTAATGGTATATACTTACATCTCCATAAAGGTAAAAAATGTTGGGTGGGGAGGGTCACATACGATTCTGACAATGAAAGCCGAGGACCCTGCCTCCCACTCAGGAAAATGTTTATCTGTAAACCATTCTGTATTTTCAAGGGTTTATCGGATGTCCCTGGACGTGAGGTTAGGTTATGAATCCTTACCTGCCCTGCCCACCTGCCCACAGCCGTGACCTTGATGTAGGGCTAATCTTTTTTTGCCCGACCTCCCCCCGGTCCCCTGGTCTCTAAGGGCATCCTGGGCCCCACCTGTGGCCGTCGCCCCCACCGTCCTCGAGCACTGCAGTGGCTCTCGCGCTGCGACAGAGCCCGGAAGCCCCTGCGAGCGGCTGGTGGTCTGGTCTCTGGTCGGCTCACAGCTTCCCTCCTGCTGTCCCAAGCCGTCCTCTGGCATCCAGGACGGCCACTTCTCCTGTGTGGGCTCGTCCCAGACTTCTGTCCCATCAGGTTCTGTTCCAGTCTCTGGGGCTGCTCCTAAAGGAACCCCCAGACTTGGGGACTTGCGAGGACAGTGGTGAAACTCACGAGCCTGGATGGGCACCGCAGCGCTGCCGGCCATTTGCCGGGGCCTGGCCCCCTCCCCCTTCTCTGCTCTCACCGTCTAGGTCCCTCCCTTCCTCATGTGTCAGAGGGTCTGCTGGGACATCTTCACGTGGCTTTCTCACGTGGCCTAAGCTTCCCTATAACATGGCAGCCGGGCTGCAAGGGGAGCGTGAGAGAGCCAGGTAGAACCCGTGTCTGTGCTCTGCTCTTGGAAATCGCGCATCGCTTCTGCAGAATGGAGGGTCACAGGCCCCCCGTAACCAGGGGGGGGACACGGACGCTGCCTCCAGTGGGGACAGCGTGGACACGTGCCGAGGCTGCTTCTGGACCTTAGTGCCCGGAGTGCGTGTTCACAGATGCCTGGGAGTCTGTGACCTGGATGATGCCCCTCACTGGTGTCTCAGCCTCAGGACGGGCTCTCCGCCAGGCTGCCCTGCACAAAGATGGTTGTCTAAAGCGGAGATCCGATCTCACTACCTTCCAGCCAAGAAACCCTCGGTAGCTTGACTCTGTCCTCTGGGAAGAGCCTGACACAGGACAGGAGACCCCTCCCTGACCCGCACCCCCTACCAGCTGCTGCCTTTCCTTCCCCCCCCACTGTGCCGCGCTCTCACGGCCCTGGGCCTCCGCCCGGCCTTGCCCTGCTGCCGGGCGCGTTTCCAGCTTGTCTGCTGGGCGTGATCAGGCCTGAGACCAGAGGGGAGATGGCGTGGGTGTGTCTGCGCCGCACGCGGAACAACGCTGAGCAGTCAGCACCCCCTTCCTGCGTCCCCAGCCTCCCCTCCCCTTCCCCTTCGGGACCTGGGTCTTTAGAGGAAGTCTCAGTGAACGGTAAACTCGGCCTCAACCGAGAAACAGATGTGACAAGCTGAGGACGTCCAGCCAGTCTGGTGTCTGGAGCCCCGCGGTTCCAGGCGGTGGTGCTGCTGCTTCAGGAAAGCCTCGCGTGGGCCGGGCAGCAGCGTGTGTGGGCGTCTGCTGTCCCCAAGCCCACGTAGCCAGGCTGGCGCTTTCTTTTAGGTGTTTACTTGCAAACTGTCCTTTTGTAGGTGGAGCCTGCCTTGCCTGGGGCGGGTGACACACAGCCGCCCCCAGGTCTGTGACGGAGTCCAGTGCGTCCCTGAGGCTCTCGCTCTCCCAGACTCCACCCTGCAGACACTCTGGCCGAGTCTCCAAGAGCCTTGGGCTGCCATCCTGGGCTTGGGGGGCAGGGGGTCTCGGGTGGGGCGAGGCTGCTGCAGGCCTCGCGCGCTGTGTGGGGTCCTGCCGCCTGCGGGGGCCGGGGGGAGGCCTCCTGGCCCGGTGTAACGGGGCATGGCCTCTGAGCCGCACGCCTGGCAAGTTCACGTGCCGCGCTGGCTCCCCGTTCACAGAGGGCGTTTTGTGGAGTGTGCTCTGAAAACTGCTTTATCAAGCAACCTCGGAAGAGCTTTGACCCCGGGACCGCTATCTTGCGATCAGGGCTTGTGTACAGACGAGCTTTTAGGGGGAAACGGGTACCATCTGCGTCTCTGTCAGTGTAGCAGGCGTGCCGTGGGTGTTATGCCACCTCTGACCTTAGACATTCGCTGAAAATATGACGACTCTTCATTTTGGCCCAAGATCTCCTCCTCCCGCCTCAAGTGCTGACACTGGAAGAGGGTAGATTTGGAGGAGAATCATTCAGAAAGTAAATTTCCTAGTACACGGAAACGAAGATCTCGCCCTTTTCCAGTGTTTCTTAAAACAAGAAATGCAAAATGGGGCTGGAAGACACAGCTGCTTGCCGGTCTTAAAATCGGTCTGTTTTTTTTTTCTTTTCTCTTCCTCCTTTCTGTTTTCTCTTTTTAAATGTAGCTGCAGACAATCAGGACGAAGAAAGCAGGCCCCACCCCAGGCGGGCCTATCTGGGTACGTACCAGCCCGCACGGGGCCGCCCCTGCTTCGTTCATTCTGTGCAACTGTCTCCGCTCAGCCCTCACGGCCATGCTTGCTCCGCGCGTGTGACTCACGCTACCAAACGTGCCCACGTCCCCAGCAAACTAACCAACACATCGCCTGCCACGTTTAAGCATGAACTAGTTCCTAGAAACCTGCCCCTTGAGTGTGTGTGGATGTGAGAGACAGAGACGGAGGAAGGGTAGGAGAGGTGGAAACGAGCAGCACAGGGGTGGGAATGCTTTTATTACATCTCTTCTTTTTGATGCTGTGGCCAATGGAATTGTTTTCTTGCTTTCATTTTGCATTGTCCGTGGCTATCATAGAAATAAAATAGATTTTCACGTATCGATCTTGTATCCTGCAGCTTTGTGCGTCTCATTTATTGGTTCCATTAGCTTTTTTGTGGGTGCTTTAGGATTTCTAGATACAAGATCGTGTCATCAGCAAATAACGATGCGTTTATTTGTTCCTTTCCAGTCTGGATACTTTTTCTTTTCTTGCCTAATCACCCTAGAGTTCAGAGAGGCTACAGTGGTGAGCATGGCCCAGCTGGGCTTGTTCCTGAGCTAGTGCGACAGCCTCCCTTCCCCTGAAGCATGGTGTTAGCAGGGGATTTTCAGATGCCTCAGATTAGAGGAAGCAAGAACCTTTCTATTCCGAGTTTGTCGAGTGTTTTTGTTTGTTTGTTTGAATCATGAAACGATGTTGAAGTTTGTCTACTGCTTTTCTGCGTCTGTTGAGATGATCATGCGGTTTTTGTCCTTGACATTGATTGATTTTTGTATGTTGAACCAACGTTGCAGTCTTAGGATCCATCCCATCTGAGCATGATGTATAATCCTTTTTTTAAGTTGCTGGATTCTGTTTGCTGGTATTGTGTTAAAGATTTTTGTGTCCATATTTACAAGAGATATTGGTCTGCTTTTGTGCGTGTTTGTATGTGTGTGTGTGATGACTGTAGTTTTAGTATCAGGATAGTGCTGGCCTTGTAAGATGGGTTGGGAATGGGGCATGTTCCCTCTCCTGTGTTGCTTAAGTTGTGAAGGATTGGTATCAATTCTTAATTAATTAAAAGTTTTTGAGGAGTAATTGACATAGGACTTTCAGGTATACATTATCAGATGCTCGTATTACTGTCTATATGGTGAAGTACATTGTGACATGTGTGTATTGTATGTAGTGAGTCCAAGTTGAGATCAGTCATTGTACATGGTTACAAACTATTTTTTTTCTTATGAAGAGGACTTTTAAGATCCACTTGTGCTAAACCACTTTCAAGCGTGCAACACAGTATTGTTAACAACACAGTATTGTTAACTATAGTCACCGTTCTGTACATTACAGCCCCATGACTTACTTGTTTTGTAACTGAAAGCTTGTACCTTTTGATCACCTTCACCCATTTAACCCATCCTGGATCCTTCACCTCTGGCTGCCACCAATCTGTTCTCTGTATCTATGGGCTTGTTTTCTTTCTTTTTTTTTTCCCCCTAGACTTCCACACATAAATAAGCTCATATGGTATTTTTGTCTTTTCTGTCTGACTTATTTCACTGACCACAATGCCCTCAAGGTTCATCCTTGTTGCAAATGACAGAACTTCCTTCCTTTTTATGGCCGAGCAATATTCCATTGTACATATACACACCGCATCTTCTTTATCCATTCATCTGTTGGCCGACACTCGGGCTGTGCCCGTGTCTTAGCTCTTATAAATAATGCTGCTGTTGGGACAGGGGCACAGGCAGCTGTTTGAGTTACCTTTCTTGTTTTCATAGGAGAAATACCAAGTGGTGGAGTTGCTGGGTAGTCCTTTTTTTAATTTTTTAAAGTTTATTTATTTATTTTGGTAGGAGGGGCAGAGAAAGAGGGAGATGGAGAATCCCAAGCATGTTCCTCCCTGGCAGCGCAGAGCCCGACATGGGGTTCTATCCCATGAACTGAGAGGTCGTGAACTGAGCTGAAATCAAGAGTCGGACACTCGGCTGACCGAGCCCCCAGGCGTCCCTGCCCTCCCTTATTATGATTGATTTCTTTCATTTCTTTGAACATATTTATAACTGTTTTGAAGTCATTTTTGCTAAATCCAGTGTCTGTTCCCCTTCAAAACCAATTTTGTTTCCTTTTATTTTTCTTCTGTGTATGGGCCACTTTCCCATTTCTTTGCATTTCTCAATATTTTGTTGAAAACTGTATGTTGTAAAATATTGTAGCAACTCTGGTTACTGATCCCTGACCCTGGCTGGGGGAGGCTTGTTTGCTTATTTGTTTAGTGACGTGGCCGGAGGAGCGCTGGCTCTGCACCTCCCGTCCCCCAGGCGAGGCCGTGGCTCTCTGACTGCTCGGTGGTCTCCCTTCGCCGCAGTCACACTCCCCTGCTGGCCTCCTCGAGTGGCTGGCCGGCCAGTTGTGCTGTTGGTGTTGATAATGCTGAAGCTTGCACAGGTCTGGTCCAGGTGACGGGCACGGGGGGATCTTGAGGGCAGTCTTCGACGACTGCTGTGTCCCCAGGATGACTCTCCGTGGCTCTCTTGTGTGGTAGACGCTGGCGGGTCTGTTTCACTTGTTGCTGTGATGGAGCTGCTACCCTCCTCCGGCTGCTCCAGCCCCGGGGTCCCCACTGTTCTGTCAGCGCCCTTGGGCTTGAACTTGCTCATACTGTGCTCTGAGCTGAGGTGCTCCTCTTCGGGAGAGCTACGGAGCTGGCTGTTCTCATGCCCCCACTTCCAGGACAGGGCCTCTGAGCCCCTGCTCTGGCGCACTGGCTGGGGCGGCAGCGGCCTTTTGTGGGGTGCTGCCCCAGCTCCAAGCGCGTGTGCGTGGGGAGCGTGGCCCCCGCTCTTCTCGGCTTGCCCCTCCCACCGTGGGACCCGGATACTCCACGAGCAGCAGGGTCAGGACAGTATTCTCTGGCCTTCGAGAGGGGGCTGGGCAGGGAGGGAGCCCTGGCTTGTCTGCCCTTCTGGCCTGGAGGAGAGCGGAGCCGAGCTGGAAGTGGGAAGTGTCTGCACCTGCTCTGGGAGCAGAGCTGTCATCACACGGGGTTGGGGGGGCTACAGGGCATGTCCCAAACACTCTTCTTAAGTAGATGTTTCTTGGGGCGCCTGGGGGCTCAGTCAGCTAAGCATCTGACTTCGGCTCAGGTCATGATCTCACGGTTTGTGGGTTCGAGCCCCACGTCGGGCTCTGTGCTGACTGTCAGCTCAGAGCCTAGGGCCTGTCTTTGGATTCTGTGACTCCCTCTCTCTCTGACCCTCCCCTGCTCACGCTGTCTCTATCTCTCTTTCAAAAATAAATAAAACATTAAAAAAAAAAATAGATGTTTCTTCGTTGCTGTATGGCCGTAGGACACTTTCTGGAGACTGTAAATGGTGTTTTAGAGTCCACGGCCACTCTCTCGTTCTGTGGGGAGACGGTCTGCAGAGACCCTCACGCCACCACCCTGAAGTGCTGTCCCGTTCGCTGGTTTACCTGACCGGAGTCCTGGTGGCCAGAATTACAGAGGACGTTTTGGGCCAGGGGGCGGGTAGCTGTGTTTATTTAGAGCTGCCCCGAAGGATGGACTCCGGGCCTGGCCTGTTCTTGGGTTCGTGTTCACATGAATAGAAGGTCATGTCCTCTGTTAAGGTTTTAGAAGTAGCCTTAAAACTGTAACTGTAAGTGAAGGTGCTGTTTTCATTTGGGGTAAACCCCTACCCCCTCCCTCTGTGTCTAGGCCTCCTTGCCCTTTCCTCCGGGTCCAGGGCGCTTGTGCGGAGGGTCAGCATGGACGCTGCTCACGCGCGTGTCTGCGGGCTGCCGGCCTGCTGGACTGGTGGGTGCAGAGAACACGGGGCCTCAGCCTGTGGCCTCCCGTCCAGTGTGGGACGCCCACTAACCAGAAATTAGCAGCACAAGAAAGGTCCGGAAGTACAATAGGATCAAAGGAAAAGGCTCCTGCAGTTTAGAGGTGCCAGACAGGCCAGCCCGGCACAGAACCCAGGACGGGCACACCTTGGGGGGTCGGCCACGAGGGCGTGAGGGGCTCACCCCTGCGGGGGGGGGGTCGGCCACGAGGGCGTGAGGGGCTCACCGTCTGAGCATTTTCCAGTGACGGCTGGCACTCCAGCCCACTGCTCGATCGTGCTCAGCTCCCTCAGGAGCAGGGGGAGGCTCTGACCCCTGGACCTCTGTCTCCTAGCACGGCCTGCGGGTCCCTGGCCCTCCCGCCCGTCCCTGGCCGCCTGGTGAGGGAGGGTGAGGGAGGGTGAGGGAGGGTGAGGGTGGGTGGGTGTGGGCGGGGGAAAGGCGGCTCAGTACGGTGACGGTGACGCGGGCTCTGACGGCGGCGTTTGCAGTCCTACGGCCAGATGGCGCTGTTGGCTTTGCTAACCCACCGCGTCCCCGTGCAGGCTGCACCCCTGCCCTGTGGCTTCCTCCCCTCCAGCCCCTCCCGCACAGCAGGCCCTGAGCTTTCTCTGGTGGCCCCAGAGGCACCGCGTGCTCCCCCGGGGCCTGGCAGCCCCCTCTTCCGTGTTGGAGTGTGAGCTCGGGGACGTGGGCTGTAGGTCAGGGCTGCGTCCCCGGATTGAGCAGACACCCAGCAGGGCCACACAGACATGTGTGCCGGGTGGGGGGGGGGCCGCCAGGGGCGCCGTGTGGCGAGAGCCAAGTGTCACTCTGACCCGGGGTGGTTTTGTTTTCATGGAGAGTTGATTTTTAAACATTTAAAAATTATTTGAAAGACCATAGAGTTAAGCTGGGATCCAGTAGCGTTTTCTCGAGCTATTTGAGAACAAGTTGCCGACTCGGTGCTTGGTGACACCCACGTCCTCTTGCGTCCCCTGGAAGGCGGGACCTGCGTCTCCACGGCCACGGCGCAGCCCGATCACATGAGCCCCCCCCAGCCTCACCCGCGTGCCCCCCCCGTCGGGAGCCGCTCCTGGTCCTGCGCTCCCAGGGCTCAGTTTCGGGGGACACTTTGAGAGGAT